GGAGGGCATTGCTTGATGAGTGGTGTAATATTCCCCAAGATCAGATTGATAATTTGATACTCAGCATGCCTAGGCGTTGTACGGCCTGTATTGCATCGTCCGGGAGACATACTCCGTATTAACCATCATACTAACCATGTTATACTGTTTTTTGTAAATAGGTTCTTTTTTGAAATTTGCTCCAGGGAGTAAAAATCGCAATTTTTATTAATTATGTCAAACATATCGGAATCTTTTTTGCTCTTTACCTTTTGTTTAATACATAGACTTTACAAATAAGTCAAATTTGTTTGGCTTCTGTCTCTTTCTGTGCCTGAACTTCATTATCCTTAATTTATGGACATGAGTGTACATTAAGATTACATTAACTTTAAGAAATTTTGTAAAGAATTAAACAGTAGCAATAAAATATAAAGAAACTATAAAATATAAAGAGATGAAAGAAAAATGCAATAAAACATAAAGAAATAAAAGAGCAATAAAATATAAGGAAATGAAAGAAAAATTATCTTTTTTACATTGATTAGGAAAAACATAATCACCCATATAGAATAAAAGGAAAAATTATCATTAATATTTTTCTATTCTGCCCACCTCATCAAACGAAGCGGATGCATATCTAGGATGAATTTTTGTCCATCTAAGTAGCGTCTTCTTATTACAAATTTATTCCTGCCCATTCTTTCTCAATAATGTTAAACTGTTTTTCTGGTTGTGAAAATTTTCTGCTACAGTAAAGAATGGGTTGATTCTATTTATTCATCCCCTTCTGCGCCCTAATTCCCCCAATACCTTTATCAGACGTATCAGTTTGAATAACAAAAACATTTGAATAGTCTGAAGAACAGGTTTTTCAGTTAATCTACGTTTCAATTCCGAAAACAATTTTTCTAATTCTTAATTTCATTCTAAGCTTCTTTTTTAGTTTTCCATTTTAGCACCCTAGTGAAAAGTTGGACGATAATACATAATTCTTAATCTAACGAGCCTGTTATTCCTAGAAATTGACGGAACTCAGTTTTATCTTTGGGTGGTGGGAATCTATTAACACTTGTATTTTTTGTTTCCGCCGGCATACGAAAACCAACCATAAGTCCATGATATTTCACGCTATTTTACGCGCATTGGTATTTTGATGGTTTTATTTTTAGTTTAGCCTCCATGGTCCTTTTTAAAATAATATCAATATACTTCAAATGATTCAGTTATCGGAAAAAATCTAAATATAGCAAGCAAAAATTTTCGCATTCTTTTAAAAGTAAAGCCATACATTTATAAAATTTGAAAAGCGTGGTTATTAGTCCAAAAGATATTACCAAAGGTAAATAACAATCAAATATAACATAAAAAGTTGGGAACTGGTCCGCGGGACTTGTCAATAATCCTTAATTAAGTCAGTTATGGTTATGAATTTTGCTGAGGCCACTAATTCAACTCTCTCTCCTCAATATTAGCAAAATGGAAATATTTTGTTAGAGTAATCGAGTTCTATTTCCTGTAATCGATGCAAGGACGCGGATCGCTACCAGGGGCCTCGACTGAAATCATAGGAGATGCATAGTCAGATTCTCCTATTTCGATGTTTATTAACTCTACGTTACGCTATTTGTTTTATATACGATATTACTATTTCAGTCTGTCTGGGCGATGTCTTTCGGTTGGTTTTCTCATTAATTCTACATCGTGCTCGATTCAATTATTTATAGTCGGGACATTAAAAGAAACCGTCTTTGAAAACTGTCAGAAAATTTGTGCTATAGAGAGTTTACTATCTCTATTGATTTCCTCAAAATCGTAAATATTAGGATTAGCTACTGGATAGGAAATTTCCAAATTTGGATCATTCGTTTTTCAATCCAAATTATCCCTGATTAATAAATTTAATTATTCGACACACCTATGATATGGCTTTAATCCTTTTTTCTGATGGAATCATGATCTTTCAAATTTTTATAAATGTAGTTAGTGTTCAAAAGTTGGCTCTCTATAATTCCAGGACCTATCCAATTTAATTTATTGATAATTTATTCGGTTTAGCCTCATCTCGGGGCTTAAGACCTTCATGCAACTGAAGCAAAATGTGATTAAACTACTGGTTTCCACTCGCTTTATTCAAAAAATGTCTGATTCCTGAATCATCTGCAGCGTTAAGAACGTTACTTGTCACGTGACAAGCACGATAGTTTGACTTCGAAGACTAAGTTCAGTAGAACCATTTCTGACCAATCATAAGGCAGATATTCTTTGTCTAATGGCGGTGTAGTAGAGAAATCATGGGAAGGGGATAGGAAGATATAAACTTGGTAATATGTTACAAACACTTCATGACAATTTGAAATTTACAGTCCATAACAATACCCAAGTAGCACCAAATATTAGATAACATCAGAAAACCAAACAAAAATCTAATGTTATCTTGCACAACTTTCGAATATTAGAAAGGTACAAAAAGTCGCGGTTTTCTCAGCTTTATATAATGTTAGATTCTATACAAACTAATATTTAGCATTCGCCGTTTATTTTTTATTGGTTTTGATGCTATATAATATTAGATTTTAGATTTTCTGTTTATCCTGGTTCGCTTTTTATTTTTGGAGTAAGCAAAAGGACGACTCGAATGGTTGTAGAATAATTCAGCGATATAATTTTACTTAATTTTCCATACTGTTGTGAAGCAGTAGAATATAGAATAAAAGTTTTAAGCTGAAGTAAGATGGTTATCCGTCGTAGAAACTTATTACTTTCGGCAGGTCACGTGTGCTATACTCTTTCTCCGACAATTAAAAACTTCATACGCATTTTCTCAACTGTGAATTAGAGGAGAATTTTCGACTATGGCTTTCAAATTACCTTCAGCTCGCAAATTTCCGTTCTTATTTTAAATATTTGTGTCTGTAATCATCTAAAATATTACTTTTACTCCTAAAATATTTAAAGTATTAACAACATTTTCTTAAAAAACATTTTTTAAAACGGAATTGAATAGTAAGTTTGATATAGAATAATTATTTTAAATAATTTTGAATTTTAATCCATTTTTAAGATTCTCTTTATTAAACGTTTTAAGTTACTTTGATAAAGTATTGAAAATTATGATGAAAGATCTTTTTAACATTCGTCTTAAATAATAACTTGCAATTCCTAATATTTTTACAATTTTAAAATACTTATGCATCAAAAAACACATACATTTAACCAGATTGGAAAACGTAAGTCCGCATCAAGAACTGTAATGAGATAATACAATTTCAATTACCTAGTAGAAAATTATGATTAATAAATAAATAGTGATAATTTATTTTTGGAGGTAATAAATTACAAACAACGAACATAAATTAAAAGAGACTACTGATGAAGATCGAATCATAGTTTCGAATTTGAATCCGGAAATTACTTTATATATGCCATTAAATAATTCGAAATCTTTGCCTCTCTTAATCAAAAATTAATATAAATAGTTCTATAGAACTTAGCCTTTGAAGTCAAATTATCGTGCTGGTCACGTGACAAGAAACGCTACAGTTGAATCAGAAAACAGACAGGAACGGACAAATCGTGCGGATACCAGTAGTTCGATTGTTGCAAAGAGTCTAAATGCGTATTCGGTTACGACTGTTTTCTCTTCTTTTGAATCAGGCTCGAATAAAAGTGCTCTTAAATTCATTCCGCGAACTAACTCGACAGGATTGATTTGTGTGTCACAGCACGCAAAGATATCGCTGCAAATAAGTTCTTCCCCCAGCTATCTCCGTTTTCAGTACATAAAACCTTCAATCACCGCTAAACCGAACAGGATTTGATTCGGGATATCTCACAGAACCATGGATGTATACAACTTTAATCCCAAACTTCTCAAAAAAAGGCAGATTCAATATTGCTAGTGAAACATCTTCCTAAATCACATTTAATTTCTTTTGGAAATCCGAAGCTATTAAAAGAGCATCAATAACTAATTTTATATCTATGATTGGCAGTGGCTTTTGAATATTTTGAAACAGTCAAAGAGGAAAACAAAGATATCGTTATAACGTAAAATTTTCTGTCCACACTGATAAATACATAAAAACATAGAAAAGTTCCAAATTCTCTGAAAACAATAAGATAAATAAAAATATTTCAAAATGGGGAAATCATTTATAATACAAGGCGTTCTAAATTATAATGACAGTTTTCAAATATGTATAAGTTAGGGTTAAAAAAAATCCTGATGCAAATTTATGTGCCAGAAATTAATTTTCCTCCCAGAGCCCCTGATCACAATTTAAAAAGTTCTCGACAGATGGCGCTGTGAATATTAAAACTTTAAATCAAAGACAAATTAGTTGAAAAATCATATCTTAATATGTAACATTGCTCACATGGGTATTTCGAAAGCATAGCAGTGTGATTTTTATTCATTGAAAGATTTCAAGAAATTTTTATGTAATTATCAATTATTTTTCTTTGATTTACACATTCCCTACCTGAACCGCCACCTAAATATTTTTGAACTGAAATCAGGAACTCTAAGAATTGATGTCCTCTTACATTATAAATTTTTAAAAACCGCCAATTCAATTTAGGACATCCTGTAATACTATAGGTTAAACTAATCTATTATAGACAAAAATATGTAAAATAAAACCGATGCATATAGAATTAAGTCCTTTTTCTTGAAAAAATTCTTAACATTTAAATAAAAGAAGTCATATTTTTTTTGTTCCAACCATAATGAAATGCCTCTTACCTATAATTAACATTGCTATAGACATTAAAGGGATTCCACCAACACAGCACAGCCATCCTACTGTTGCAAAAATATCAGAAAAAAATAAAGTATGAACTCTTCAGTGATTAAAATGAACCAAATAAATGAAATCAAATGCAAACACACACGCATTGTAACAAACACATTTTTACTTTCACAAAAAGTCCGCGAAGTACAAACTATCTAGATAAATAAGCATCGAATGAAAAATCTAAAAAAACACATTTGAAATATTTGCAAAACTGCATTCAATGATACTAAACTCTACTACGATACTAAACTCTACTCTACTGCGTTAATTTCAAAAAGGGGGTCTCATTTTTTGCTGCAGACTTTAATTCTTCAAAAAAAAGTACCTCAATTTAATCTTTTTTTTTTTTTATTATTACTATTATTTTGGTTCACACATGGCCCAATTACCACGGTGACTCCCACGAAGTTGGGCCGAGTTTGGGAGTGAGGGATAAGTTTGGTGTCATTGAAAAGGTTTATTATTTAAATTATTAGGCATGACTATTTTTTTCTCTCTTAGTTCGGATACGTATTTCTTGGCATAGCTTCATTTAAAACGATTTTTACTCCATTTTTATTTTGAGATTATAGCACCGTATCTTGTTATGTTAGGCCAACTTCTGTTTTCGCTAACAGAAAAGATCAATTGAGTGATCGGAAGTCATTCTATTGAAAATCGCACAGTGTGAGGAGGTCGTTGCTCGCCCAAACTACATGACGCCTAAAACGATAGAGTCACGCCGTTATCTACGAGCAATTAAGTTCCAAAATGGCTGGATCACGCTGAGTGTTAACAAGTATAAATTTTGTAAAAAATATTAAAAAGAGTGATGCCTCTGTAATCATTGCAATCTAGTTTATCGCCCTTTTTCTGTATAATAAATCTCATTTTTCAATCATTTGTCATTTTCTCCATTCTCTTAATCATTCTGAATGGCTATTCGGAATCATTATTTAAATTCTGGTTAGTTAATTGTCTCCATCAACCATGTCAGTTGAAATGGGAAAAATATTCCTTAAAACCTGAGTGCTACTTAAGAAAAATTATTAAAATTGTTACCATTTTTATCCTTGCAATTCATTCACCCGGTTGTAAATTTTTAACCCTTTGACGCAGAATTTTTATTAAACATATTTCTCGTACTTTTATTCCTTATTTTGTATTAATTTAGGTTAAAATAAGTGAAAAGTTAAAATAAGTTAGGTTAAAATAAGTGAAAAGACTTACAAACAGTCTATAGATTATTTTGTCAAATTTTCAGTTATCATTTTCTTTATTACTTTCTGAAACAATCTTGGTCAAAAGGAAAGCAATTTTCTTTTTCTTGGAGGTTGTTTCGGAAATCCATCGTTTGTTATCATAATAAATTTTGTTTGCTCTAGTGTAGTATTCTAACATTCTGTGTCCCACAACGTAATTCAACTTTTCGTTTTCCTTCAAACGGTCTAAATCCTCAGTCATAATTTTCATGTTCAGCATTTATAACAATGATATATTTATAGCCCCAACCTTTAAGACCTGTAGGAGAAATATTTTAAGGAGAACCTGGGGGATCTGAAAAGAGAACTAGGAATCATCTAAGAAGACCCCGGGTGACCAGGTTCTTCTTAGATTGGTTAATTCCCTCTGACCTGTCCAGCTTGGGAAACCCTATCCATAACCACCTAGCCAGGATCTACTAGATGCTTATGCCCTGTCAGATGCTAAGTTACCTAAACTAAGGCATCTGTTTAAAAATGTCAAAACTATTGACAAAGATTTATATAGTAAAGATGGTGATCAAGGAACACCTTTTATATACATTTAGACCACATTTAAATGCAATGATATGTATTTAAAAATATCAAAATTCAGTATCATTGAGGCGAATATTAACATTTTGTGTACGCATTGTTGTTAAGAAGTGGTGCCGATTAACAAAATGTGTAATACTGTTTTGAATTTCATTCATGTCTAGTGTAATTTTTAGTATAAGTCATCTTTAGTGTAAGTTTTGACCCATTCAGGTGGTAGAAGATAATAATTTTCTTAATGATGGTAGTTTAAAACTTTTACTCGCGGTCACTAAAAGATTTAAGATGTTCCTAATTCATGATTCTAATGTTCCTAATGCATTTCAAAAGGCCATGATTTCTATCTGGGAATATTTATTTTCTATTAAAAAGAAAGAAATACAAATAGATTTGCATTCATTACAAATCTTCGATATCACAATAGATAAATTATATTATAGTCGTAATTTATGATTATCTATAATAACCATTACTTCTAATGATTATTACGTGTACTCATGAAAACTTGTAAAGATACATTATAAATACCCATTAATCATAATTACTTCTTACTATATTTTAAGATTGCGTGTACTCATGATTATAAGCAAATTAGTATGTGTAATCCTTACTTGATTAGAAACGCATAAATACTAAAGGTTCACGAAATAATTATTGAAAATAATAATTTGGAAATGCTTACAAGTGGAAAATACAATGGCAATAACTCTCAGTACAAATTCAAATACATTTGAAGAGGATGTCCACGCTAACTTCAATCTTAATATTGGAAATAAGTACATGGATGGTTTTTTATCTGAAAGACCTGGATCTGAAAGAAAAAAAATTATTCAACAGTTAATATGACAACATTTCAACCACTTTGAAATGAATACATTTTATTTGTCATTGTAAAGGACTTGGGATCGATCCCCGATCACAAGTTCCGAATCTAGAAGCGTAGTTTGAGCACAACTCAAAAATCACTCCTCGCAAATGTTTTGTTGAAATTGTTAGTAGTCCAGCCCTCAGGGCCCAATTCGGAAAAAAATTACCAGCAAAGGTTTATTTTTCTTTTCACCGCTTTGGTGATATGACTAATCTCAGTTTTCCCTTTAAGGAAGGTAAGCATCAGTTCATGGATCCTAAAACGTCACCTAAAATAGCATTTTTTTTTTAAATTATTTTTTTAAGGATTTTTCGTTTACCGTGTTTAGTACTAAGTTGACCTTTTTCTTATAATTATATTGAAAAGTTTTCTTCAGGGTGATTCGACGTTAAGATTTATTTTCTTGGGGTGAATATTTATTATTTTTCAGTTCGATAACAAAAACGTTATTCAAAAATTTCATTAAAAAAGTCATAACGCAAGGTTTTTAACGAAAAAAACTAAGTCATACCCTTTGAGTCTCTAAATTAAAATATTACGGAATCATCATTGCAAAGCAATGAAATTATTTATTAATTTATTTAGATTATATTCTTTTATTTTTACCACTTGCCTTCCGTACTTTTCTCGATTTTTCTAAAAAAAAATGTTTTTAACGAAAGAGAGAGACATGAAGGAATATATTTAATGTAACACATTTCAGTTGGCCATTTATATCGTATACGATAAATGTTAAGACTGTTGGCACCTCGTATAAGAACTTAAATGTCTACGGGGAGGAAATAAAGTGGAGGAAACTTATAAAGTCCCTGGTGGTCAGTAAAAATCTCTGGGAAATTCGGAGAGTTGGTTGATTTTACTGAAGGGGCGAAGGTTTTTGAATGGCTGATAGGGACCCCGCCATTAATTCCCCCTTTGAATCTAATATTATTGAATCGAATGATAAGTAATACAGAAATAGTTTTTCTGTAAAAAAAAGTCGAAACAATCTTTCGAAACCGAAACTAATAACTATANAAAAATCTCTGGGAAATTCGGAGAGTTGGTTGATTTTACTGAAGGGGCGAAGGTTTTTGAATGGCTGATGGGGGCCCCGCCGTTAATTCCCCCTTTGAATCTAATATTATTGAATCGAATGATAAGTAATACAGAAATGGTTTTTCTGTAAAAAAAAGTCGAAACAATCCTTCGAAACCGAAACTAATAACTATAGTTCTTAATTTTTTTTCTGAATTTAATTGTCCTTCAACTAAAAATCAATGACGGTATTGCATTAAATGGATGATTTTCGATCCAAACTAGCTCCTTAATGCAATTAAATGAACTGTTTAGTTATAAAAATTTGGCGAGAAACATCACTTTACGTTTAATGGGAAACGCATAATAAAAATTCAGTTCAAGACAATGTTTGGAACGCTAAAAGGCGACGTCATAATCAACGTCATCACTATTCTTGTCCATTGCTCTCTGTTGTATGATGGGTGAATGTGGTCCACCTTATGAACAGGTATCTCTGGCAGTGTGGCGCAGGTGATAATGCTAGCCTTTGTGACTTGGGCTTACAGGTGACCACCGCACCGAGTAACGTTAAATGAGCAACAGTTCCGACATCTTCCGGGGCAAAAAGCGAAAAGTTCAGTATCTGCCATTAAAAAAATGTGTCAAAAATACACTTTAAAATTTCCACATTCTTTACTTTAAGCACAATGTTTAATGCAGAGTTGAGCCGGGTTAGAATCCCAGCGAAGGCTGGTCCGTATGGATTCTGCACCCGGCTCGCACCGACCACAGTGCTGACGCAAAATATCCTCAATAGTAGACGCATCATGGGTTAGAGTCTCTTTGCCGTTAGGCTAACCTTGGATGGTTTTCGTGGTTTTCCTCACCATGTAACGCAAATGCGAGTTCGTTCCATCAAAATTTCCACCACGAAGGCATCTTTCTCCCAATACTTGATCTAGGTGTTTCCTTGCCTTCAAAATTACAAGACTACGGAGTTGAACATTAGTAGTCGTAAACCCAAAATTGGGTCGGCTGTGCAACGACGGTTATAAAATAAAAGGAAATGTGTAATGCAGTTTTGAGTTCCGTATAGCCTCAAACTTTTAAAAAATTTAATTGGTTTGAAAATCAAGGCGGAAACTAACCTGCTCCCATGACTATCCACAAGGTGAAAACATCCCTAGTGTTACAATAGATCGAGTGTTGTGCTTTTTACCCCACCTGTAGCCCCTTTCGATGGCCAATACCAGCAAACATATTTTGAGATAGTACGGATAGAACACATTTTAAGTTAACATTGCGGGAGGCAGCGTATACATTGAAAAGTGCTTTCACTTTGCTTGTTACGCGCTGAATCTTAGTACACGTGCTCTGCTAAATCGGAATATGTTACTCTCTGTAAGTTGTTTTTCTGATGTAACATCTCGTACTAAGCAGTTCACCGTATTAATTACGTATTCGGACAATTCTTCTCCTTTCTATATTCTTCGATTTGAAGCCCATCTAGTCTCAGATCGATGGAAACCAGCTTGTCAGGGAAGTAAAGGCGGCTTATGTGCAATACTGACTGCATTTCCTGGTCTCAAAATTGGGGAGCTTTAACCTTCGTAAACATTCCTCTTCCCTTTGGCTCACAATGAATGTTGCGGNTTTGAATTTTTAGAAAAAATTCATTGTAAAAACTTTTGCAATATCATAATAATTTATTTATGTTATGTTCATCTACAAAACATGTAGAATGTGATAACACACTTCAAAATTCTGAGGTATTCATTTTTACCAAAATAAATGCATATCTCAAACCACATGTGCTTTATTTATCATTATTCTAATATTTTGAATTGGAGTTGTATTAGAAAAGCTGTTATTCTTTCGACAAAGGAAATAACGTTTTTCAATTAATAATATACTACTTTTACAACTGTTGTAAACATTTAACGATAACTGTTAAGTTTTGGATATCTTTAGTCTCTTCGAAAAATGACGCCAAATGAAGAAAAGCCACCATTTTAATAAAATGGTTCGAATTTTTTTAATGTTTGAAAAACACAGAATTATCTAGGGTCATAAATTACGAATTATTAATTTGCTTACATGATTTACACCAAGATAAGCTTGGAGTAGATCATCGAAACAAATTAGAAAAAAAAATTTAAAAAAGTTTGAGTAAATATTTAAATTATTTCTCGGTTCTAAAGACTCTTTCCTGCAAGACAAAATTATAACTTTGCCACGATAATAAGACACTGTTTTCTAAAGAAGAGAAACACTTGAAAAAAATTAATTGTGTAAATAAAGTGGGGGTATAAAGACGCTTTTTGGAGCACTTTGCTTCGATTGAAGACCGGTAGCTACTACAGTAGTTTGAGATTAAGATTTTTTTTTTTAATTTGAAAATTTAATCTAAGATATAATACTTTAACAGCTAACTATTCTCTTAAGGAAAACTTTTGAGAATTGCAATTTTATGAAACGCAGATAACAAAAAAGGGTGGTTTGTTTGAAGACTACTGAAAAAGTCACCGAGTGTTTGGTAATACAAGCAACATGTATACACTATCTTTTATTTTGGAACTAATATTTATGAAATGAAGCAAGACTTGGAGTGAAAGAGGAACAAAAGAAATTTTTCATTTTAGAATGCTATGAAGAAAGATATGGATAATGATTAATTCAGTGTAAACCCATGGTTTACGATCCTTATAATTTTCACATTTGGGTACTGTGCGCCATGCTGCATGTGTTATAAATTGGATTGGTGGCAATAGCGAATTCAAAGCGTGATATTTTATTTTATAACCGTCGTTGCGAGCAGCCGACCCAATTTAGGGTTTACAACTACTAATGTTCAACTCTGTAGCGCTGTAAATTTGAACCCAATCCAAAATACAAGGGAACTCCTGGATGAAGTAGTAGGAGAAGTTTGCTTCGTGAAGGACTTTTTGATGGAACTAACCAGCATTTGCTTTGAATGGAGAGGAAAACAACGAAAGTCTACCACGATTAGCCTGGCGGTAAGAGAACTCTAACCCATGATTCGTCTACCACCGAGGATATTTTACGTTAGCACTGTGATTGGTGCGAGCCGGGGGTGGAATTCAGACCCGGTTCACTTTTTTGGAAGGCGAACCTAAGCCACCATAGCTCATGACAATACATAGCATGGGAGCCGCGATGACTCAGGGGATAGAGCGTTCGCCTTCCAATGAGACGAACCGGGTTCGAATCCCAGTCTATATGAATTCCGCATCCGTCTTGCACAGACCACAGTGCTGACGTGAAATATCCTCAGTGGTAGGCGGATCATGAGTTAGAATCCCCTTGACGTCAGGCTAACCGTGGAAGGTTCTCGTGGTCTTCCTCTCTTCCTCTCCATGTAACTCAAATGCGGGTTAGCTCCATCAAAAAGTCCTCCACGAAGGCAAATTACTCACGATACTTGGTCCAGGTGTTCCCTTGTCTTATGGATTGTGTTCAAAGTTACAAGGCTACGGAGTTGAACATTAATAGTCGTAAACCCACAAAAATTGGGTCGGCTGTTCAACGACGGTTATAAATTATACATTACGTAGCGTGGGAAATAATTTTTTTTTGTAGAAAATAGTTTTCTATTATTTTTTTTATTATTATTATAAGTTACACTTTTGATGTATTTCGACTTTTGTTGCACCTTTGAGCTGAATTTTATTTAAGTAAAAAAGTCTCTTTTCATACACGATAACCTTACCCAATGGGCATAAGTTCATACTGTGGTTTCAGACGAGATAATGTTGGTGCAAATTAATGCTTAGTTTTCTTTCTTAGCTTAATCTTAACTTATTCTTATCTTAAACTAAATGCAGAGCAATTCCACTTGTGACAAAATAACATTTTTAATGAATGAATTATAAAAATCAAAGTAAATTGTTTGATAAAAATAATGAACGATTTATGTCGATTAT